CTTCTGCCGCTGTTTCTGGTTCAAAAGTGGCTTGACCTGGGGAATGCAGAATACATTCTCTCAGTTTAAACTTTTGATCTGTGATTTGTGTTCTATTCTGAATAAAATATTAGATGTTGGCACCTCCGCATCATTGCATTCAGTTTTTATTCACAATTTGTTTAGTGTCCCAACTTTTTTGGAATCCGGTTTGTAGAAATACACAGAAATAAAAGTGAAAATCAGGTTTGGGCAGGTTACAATAGAAACTTGTTACGGTGTTTTCGTCTTTAAAGCTTCTGCCTTGGTACAGTAATTTAAAGTGGACAGATAAGAAATATAAGTAAAAAAAAAAACAATCTGGGTCCAATAATGGTCAGTCAGGTCATCTGGACAGTTTATTTTTTGTGGAAAGATGTTTCACCCTCTATCCAGAGGGCTTCTTCAGTCTGAGGAGTTCCAAGTAATCTCGACAGAGGACAGGACATCCTTCAGAAACCATCTTATCACCAGCAAACTGGTTGGTCTACTAAAGGAGTGTACTAGTGGGGAAAACCGTTTACCAGTACGGACTCCTCAGACTGACAAAGCCCTCTGGATAGAGGGCAAAATGTCATTCCACAAACAAGAAACTGTCCAGATGACCTGATTGACCATTATTGGATGTTGTATCTGGATGATTGAGCATGAACTTTGATGACTTCTACTTCCTCAAGCGGCTGGGAAGCTCAATCCTCACCTCCTACAGGTGTGCAGTGGAGAGCATCCTGTGCTCCAGCATCAACATGTGGCATGGAGGCTGCACAGAAGAGTTGGAGTCAGCCTCCCCACCATCACAGACATCCACACCTCCAGATGCAGGAAGAGAGCCACCTGCATCATCAAGGACCCCACTCATCCAACACACACACTTTTTGCCCCACTCCCCTTAGGCAGAAGGCTGAGGAGCATTAACCTCCTTAGACCTGGACTCTTGCATATGTGGATGCCAGGTCCTAGGAGGTTTAAGTGTAGAACCACTAGGCTGAGGAACAGCTTCTACCCTGAGGCTGTTAGACTCATGAATCTTTGACCAGAATAATCACTGAAAAAAATCATATGTTGCTGCTGATCTGTTTCACGTTGCTGCTGATCTGTTTCATGTTGCTGTGTTCGTTCGTGGACGATATATATATATATGTATATATATATATATATATATGTATATATATATGTGTGTATATAT